TTTTTCAAGGACCAAGAATTTGAACTTAGTTGTCCCAGGGAAGTTGTGCAGCCTATTTTGGGCAACATACATTTTGGACAAAGAACAGTAGCATCCTACCTCGGAGGCCATAAAAGTCAAAAGAGCTGACACACCTTGAGACTGGCAGGAGCAGGATGCCTGTTCCCGTTGACCATTAATTTGGGGTTACATACATTCTGATCTTTCCTATGTGCATTGAAGTGAAAGAGCACTACCGCTCTTTGTCTGCATGACTGAACCTAAGACATATTCTGTACCCAATCTGAGGAAGGTGGATTATGGAGCAATAGGAATGAAATGCCACAGGATTTGCAAAAATTTAGTGAAACGTCGTATAAAAATATCATGTGCTGCCTGAAGTTGTATTGAACAGACTGCTGAATGATTTCTACACTTGTAACAGGTACATATACAACAGCATACATATGCATGCTTTAAATATGATACATAATGACTACATTCGGTTATAAAATGGCCATTGTGTCAAAATATCTAACTCCCTGGAAAGAAAAAAAAAAAAAATTTCGGCCCTGGAACGTTTTTTCTGATGTGCCACTGATTAAAAATATTACTCAAAAGATACGTGCCATTGTCGGTATGACTTAGGGAAAACCGCAGTAAAACGTTTCACGTTATCACTCAGGGAAAATAGGGTAAGGAACTGAGCGCAACATCCGGATGCACAACAGAATTCCTTCGGATCCCTACACCTCATCGCCCCTCGCCTCCTTTGTGCAAGAGGGAAAACGCCTAACACATGCAACTGAACTGCGTCCATGTATCGGGCTCGTGCTTCTTGTCCCATAGCCAGAAGAATCACACGCTGCTCTCCTTTCCCTCTCTCAGCTCTCTTGACTCTGTTTAAGAGTCTTGTGGTTGTCTGAAAAGGCCCTGAAGCATGCTCCCACAAAGTAAAGCCCGAGCATGTGGTCTTAAGATGGAAACCAGCTCTGCGGAAGGCTGAAGACTTTCACTCAAAGATCATTCTGATCATGAGGAAAGAGCGCCCTTCCCCACAGGAAAGCTGTGGGTCTGAAAGAGTCATGTATGAAATGAGGTCTTCAAAAAAATCACTTCTGTGAAGAGTTCTAGTATCTGAACAGGGCCGTGCTTTACCTATGATCTCTACTCAGAACATCTACGCAGTGTACCTTCCCCCTTGCACTGTTTCAGCAGAGTTTCGTACTGTCCGAACCCAGCAGCCCGAACCTTTGCAAGCCAGCAGCGTATGAATGTAGTCTAACATCTACGTATCTTTTGCGTGCAAATGCTTCAGACACATAAATAAATTCCTTTGCTTATTTATGAAACAGCTTTGAGTAGCAATGGGCAGGTATTAATATACGAGAGACTGGTTGGTTTAAGTTCCCATGCCAATTGTAAGTCAGTATTTGACCAAAACTGAGATGCTCACTGAAGGCAATGACTTTAGGAGAGCGTGAGCGACTCTGAACTTTCAAACATCATGCAATGCAGTTGTTTCTGGCAATCTAAAAATGCTTCTCTTAAGGTTGTTCACTGTCTGCTCTCTAGTGTTGGAGGGTGAAAGGGGGGAGATGCTAGAGCCAAAAACCAGACAAGGTCTTTCTTAGAGACAGGTCACCTACCTGTTTTCCTATGCCTTCGCATTTCAGATCCTGAAGGTGTAACCTGCTGCTCTCCATTCAAGAACCTGGGACAATTGCTTGGCCCAGGTCCAACTAGTTGCTTCAAAATGTAAAAATCATTTCTGATGTTTCCCACAACACTTTCACCCTTGCCTGAAGCCATTCTGTAACCCTCAATAACCTGCTGCTCTCTTTTTCAAAGCAGCTATTCCTGAAAGACAGCCTGAACCACCTCATGCTACCTGATGGAGATATATTAGTGCTTCAGCCTAAGTCAACCAATTGATTGGTAATAACTCCTAGCAGTAATCATCTTTGCCTATCAGGCTTCATTACCCAGAAACAAAGCACTCGGTATCTCCCTGCTACTGTCACTTCTGTTCACTTTTGCTATGTGTTTTGCTTAATCCCAGATGGTGTCACAACTGAATTGAGTTAAAAGTCAAGTCTCTTATTACCTTCCAGTTTCTGTGCTTTGCCATGTACCAGCACAGCAGAAGGAAACAAGGCGCTCCTCTTGTTGGTATGTTTGTGAGCGGAAAGCGGAAGAGAGAGGGTGCATTAGCAAAACTCTGGGCAGAGCCAGTGAAGCTATGGCAATTTATTCTACCTTTACATCTGCAAGACTGCTGAAAGCGTAACCATGGCCTCTAACAGACATTTGACGCAGGATTAAGATAAGACAGCAGACGTTACCATTCCTTGTTATCCATGCCACACTCATCTAATGCAAGGACTTCTTGCACGGCCCATCAGCAGCCACGGTTTTTAGGCCTGGCAATAGTCATAGAAATGCTGAGGTGGAAACGGTGGCGGTTCAGGTGAAAATCAAGACTTCACTGCCACAAGAACAGCAACATCTGTCAGACAGGTGGAGAAGCTGCTGGGCCCGTACAGCTTCAGCTTTCCTCTTATGATCTACCCCTGGTTGTTTATCATCCGAGTCCTGTGCTGTAAATTTGACCCCAGAATGGATATGCAAGTATACTGTACCCACAACAATGACCCCGTTTGGTGCCATTTCACAAACATTATCCTCCAGAAGCGTTACCAGTCTCTAAACGGGATCAAACTTCAGTCGTCTGTGTTGAGCCTAAACCTAGTATGATCTACCTTAACCTTTCAGCCCTCACTTTCTCCTTCACCGCTTTTAAGTTATTCTTCCAGATATTCCTATTTAAAGCCCTTCTGTGATTTATAGCACACGTTACTCCACACTTGCTTTGGTTTCCAAAGCCAGGTCCTAAATAAAGGCCAAAAAACACTTCAAACAACTTAATCCTTCCTAGAAAGGGCTGTTAGCATTCAAAGATGACATTACATCAAAAGCAAAGGTTAAACTCCAGAATGCATTCTCTGAAAGAAGTAACAAAAGCTCTATTATATCCTTTGATCACTTGAGCTCACCTGTAGGAAATGTTACACCTTTTTATTGAACTGCTGAATTGTCTTTGCTGTACAAACTGGAGACATTCTTGACAGGCTTAAAGTCATTAACACCTCTGAAGAATGCTCAGCAGAGCCTGTAATACTCTCTCATGTCTATGCATGTTAGTACAGCAGCTCTGTAGTTTCCTAACACGCCAGGCATCTGTCCTCTTGATATTTGTGTAACAAAGTTATTGAAATGAGTGAAATAATAGCATATTGGCAAAATTCTCCGTGACACAAATGCGCGTAGTAAAACATTCCATGGCTACAAATAAAAAAGCCTAGCACTAAATTAGTAAATGCATTGGATTACCATGACCCATTTCTGGAATAAATCACCAGTTAATTACTGTCAAAAATAAAAGTTTGTGTTTTTGTTAGTGTCTGGCAAGTACATTTACAGAGTACTGCCCATTCCAAATACTGGACACCCAGTCACTCCCTCTTCCATTCACACAGTACACATTCACAGATACTCTCACACAAGTAAGACACACACACTCACTTTTTCCACACACACGCACGCATCCAAGTATGGCCTATTAAAATAAGGTTAAAGATCAATACTGCATTCTTTGGTTACTCTTCTTTCAAACATTTTGTTAGACATTTTGTTAGACATTATTTTGTTTTAGAAGTAGAGCCAACTATAAACGTGCCTTTTCTTATTAAAAAAAACAAAAAAAAAGTTTATAAGGAATTTCTGGCGATCCAGGCTGCTGTTTAGTTCTAATATCTTCAGCAAGGAACAGCTGAAACTTATTTTCCCCTAGCCTCTTTAGGTCCTTAAGTTTCCTTTTATTCCTCCAGCTCTTTCACAAAGCTTATCTCGTCATACGTAAGCAGCATTTTTATGAAAGACTAACATTCCTACATGGGTGTGTACTCTCTCAGACACGCCAAGAACTGGGAGTTGATTCTCCTTTTCTTCTCAAGTTGCGCTCTATATGCATTATTTCTTAGGCGTCACAGAGCTTTTGAATATTTCTAATATACTTTACACTTCAAGTCCTGAGACAACTTCTGCTGAATAAATACTCCTATACATAAAAGCCTACTGCCAGACCATCACTACAATACACATACAAAAAGAATTCTTACATAGCAATGAACACCACGAGACGGCTAAGAAAGACAGCCCAAATAACTGCCAAATCTTAGTGGCGGTAGATTTTAAAATGAACTTACATCCTACAAAAAAAGTACAGCACTTGCTCTCTGTATTGTAGCCATAGCTTTACCCACAAGCTAATGTAATCGCCAAAACCAAAATGTATGTTCTTTGTTCATACTTGAGCTAGGATTTTCTTAGAGAACTCTTGACTTATTCATGTTTCAAATCTTGGCCTATTAAGAGATAACTATTCAGTGGAGGGCTACAGTGAGCTTCTGGATCTTAATCCTGTTGTCTTGATTAGTCTCTCTAATGATTATACAGTTTGACTGCCTCAGAGGGAGGTGGAGAAGAATAGAGTAGAGGGATAGGAGCAGTTTGTTTAGTCCCCATTAGCTTCTGATTACAGGAAAAACAAGATAGTGTCATGTTGGCTGAGTTCATTGGGGAGGAAGACAACGTGCCTTGGAATAATTCTATACAATCAAGAGATTAGAAGGATTAAATGTAACCAAACCTTTCCTAAAACACAGAAGGATAAGCAGTATGTTTTTAAACAGTAAACACTGGCTCATTTGTTGACTCCTTTGCGTGACAGTCTACGAAAGCCGCGAGAACTCCAGAATCAAGCATCTGCCTTTACCTGTCTCTCTGCTGAATGAAATGAATTGGATTTAAGATTGCTGTGCCTATCTTACCTTGTTCACTGAAGGGTTACGCGTGTCCCCTACTCCCAGCTGAGCTGGGCAACAAAATCAGACTCATTTCTCTGTAACTATGAATTTTCCTGCACGTTTAGCTAACCACAATGAATGGGTGAAACTTACTTCAACTTGGTGAACGTTTTTCATCACTGGTGTCCCCTCTTAGGTTTTTGAGTGATTTGGGATTTGTATTCTTCATAAAATGTTGAAAATGGCTTTCATAATAATTCACCTGAAAAAAAAAAAATAACAATAGCAAATTTCCCTTGAAAGCAGATACTGTGCAAAAATGAGCCCAGTAGACTTTTCTTTTTTTTAATTTTTGATCCTGTTTCAAAGTTAACAGTTAATGTTTTTTTCCTTATCTCATTTCATGAAAATAGCTCATTATTTGCAGTGACATAGGGAAAATGCCTCTACTTTGAATGGCCTCAGTTTCTGGGTGATAATTTCATCTTCTCCCCAGTCATGCTGCTGTCAAATGCAGGCAGCAGCTCCACTGTATCCGAGGAAGCCATTTTCAGTCCCCGCAAGAGCTCTACTCTCTAGTATTGGAAAGAATATATATGCCATCGAAAAACTAGAAACATATCCATTACCATGCTCCCCCTAAAAGCTCAGAGATGGTGATCGTTTTCCCTGAGAACAGCAGCTCTACCAGCTAGAAGAACCTTGTCCCTTCCTTACCAAGCAAGGCTCAGTTTAGTCTGTGCTGATCCCTATTTGTCACCCATCCCCAAGCACGTCAGCCTGCTTCTCTCTCTCAGCCACAACATTCAGCAAGGAGGGATTACCATAACGAAGTACGCAAGCCATGTGATCCAAAAGGAAGGGGTAAGCGGTAGTAATTCCGTTTTATATACGCAAAGACACCAGAAGGGTGGAGGAGCTGCAGCCTGACAGGCGCTGTTCTCACAACATTAACACAAAGATGTTAAAGGAAACTTTATAGGGACTTTATGCAATAAGTGTAAGAAAATATATCATGTCAGTAGAAATCAGTAGGGTAATGTTTGCAAGGAGAGAGATTATCCTTTATCGGGTCAGCCTGTATAACTAGAAAACAGAAAGAAGTTTCTGCAGCCTTTCATCAGATGAAATACAGGAGCTCTTGGTTTCCAAGCATACTTTCAGCTCATTCCACTCCACCTCCAATCAACTCAAGAATCTAAAAATCTAGGTCACAGCAAATTAAGAGAACTGAAAGTTTACAGGTCATGTAGCTATGTGGGCTGAAGCCCCCTCCCCCCCCCAGTAATCTGTGCCATGCCCCAGAAGAAAATTTTGAATTGCTTTCAGTTGCACACGCTAGGTTTTCACTCATCAGGATGCATCTCAGACTAGCACTCCTGCAAAATATGAAGTAAGCACAGCTCTTTACACAGACCTTCCATCAGTATCTAAACTGGAGGTCGGTCAGAGAGCATACTTTTTTCATTAGCACTAAGAACCCAAAGTTTACTCAAGCTCAAAAGAGAAAGTAAAACACATGAAAAAAAACTAGAGTTTTGCTAGATAGAATTCTCAAGAGTGAGGTTCCCAAATGTGTGCACCCCTCTGGTGGAAGCTCAGCCTCCTTCAGAAAAGGAAACGTACAGGCAGGAACAGAGCTGAAGTTCTGAAAAACCAGCCTAACATGGATATTCTAACAAAAGGTAAGTGGTGATTTCCAAATAGTCACCCCAAAGTTGGATTATTTTCCAGATCGTTTGCTCAGCAACCTGAGTAATCAGTAACCGAGTCTGGGGATTCTTTTGACACATTATTTATCACAAGCAGAAACTAGAAAATCATAGCACTAAAAAAAAGTTTGTTGCCCTAGGCATGTTTTAGCTTACTGTCACAGCTCAGTCTGTTCCCAGTGTTTCACTTGTAATAGCTCCCTTGCTGAACTTATGACTAATAACAATAAAATATTAACAAAATAGTTTTGCTTAGCGGCAGCTCTAGAGAGAGGAATGAAAGCTGCTGTTGTGCTCTTTGTTTCGTTTCAAGCCTGTGACATCTACTTTTGCTGCTGTTACTTACTGTACCATTTTGGTACTGAGAGCATCAGTGACAGCAGTAGCACCATATTCCTCACCAGTGTCTGGAGAAACAGGCCAGTATGTTCTCCCCACCCACCCGAGAGAGCATTTGTTTTCCTGTAGCGACTCGTCTTTCTCGACTCAAACTGCTCAACGCTCTTCACCTTCCTCTAGCTTCCTCCTTGACGTTCCCAGAAGTCACTGTAAATACCTCCTTTTCCTCCCTGACCTCCCTCGTCCTTGCGCTGAGTTCCCTTTCATCTCTCCCAGCTTCGTACTCTAGCCCCCGTCCTTACAGCTTACTGGGATTCGCAGAGCCTCCAGCGATGCCTTCCAGAGAAACCAGCTCGCTCCCCCATCCTGCAGTGGATTTACAAGCATTGCCAGCTCTCACAAGGCACTCCTATGAAATCACCCCCAACGTATCCGCCAGATTACATTTTAAATTTAAAAAATATGTATTTTTACTTCTTTGTAATTATTGTTGAACTATAATCACGCCACAGCTGAGACTGGGCACCATCTCCACTCACGGTAATTAACAGCCCCCAGCGCACAGTTTGCAACATAAATAGGTATGTCAGTCCAAAGACGAAGGAAGTAGCTACCATACATCTTATTATTTCATTTCACTCCAAGCTGCAGTGAACTGCAATTCATTTTGCAGCCTTGTTTAAAATCTTTGGCAACTGCAGCCAAGTTTTCAGGTAGTACTAAGAGCTTGATGCAGTGTATATAAACAAAATGAGTTTCTATCATTTCCAGTTTTTTTTTTACTTTATGTTGTTCTAAGTCTTCACAGAATTATAGTCTTTATCTGTTCCTACTACAGGGCCTTCTGAATTAACAAAGGATCTGTTAACAGATCCCCGCACACTTCATTCAAACCAAATTCCATGGTAAAGCTAAGTTGTTGGGTTTTTTTTTTTTTTTAACTCAAGATTATGCTTTTAATCCCTCGTGTGATGTTATACGAATACATAATTTTACGGGCAAGCTTGGATGGATTCTTACAACAAGAACAAAGAAAATTAAATAAAACTGAAAAAAAGCAGGCGCTAACCATTGACGAACACTGAGGTTCAGGGTTGTTTTTTTTCCCCCCCCTTTTCTGTGTCATTTGTAGCCTGTCATTCAAAAAGTGCAACAAAAAAGCCAAAATAAAACTACTTTAAAATCTGTTTTGCAAACAGTGTGACAACATTAGGCAAGATTTGTGATAAGCCAGAGATGTGCACCTGTCCTAATGTTGTGGCCCCTCGTCTTTTCAATTTATTCAAATTTCTATAATTTGTTCTCTCAAGCTTTTGTACTCTGGTGCTTTTTAATGCTAACACCAATCGACTCCAGCCTGCAGGATCCCTTGGCACTATGGTGGTGTTATGATTCACATTATCCACTGGCAGGTTATCTCCCGATAATTGTATAATTAACCTAGTGAGTAATTATCATCGTTTCCAGTACCTTGCTATATGAGATTCCCACCTGGATACCGCAAAGTGGCATGTGTTGTTTTTGGACATGGTCAAACCGTACAGTGTGTGAAGGCTTGCGGATTTTACGCTGTCTGGAGGGCTTGCAAGCCAGTTTGTCATAGCTCGGAGACTGAGGTGGGAGCTGAGGCAACCTGAGGGGGGACCCACCCTACATAAACAGGTAATGGCAATATTCCTGCACACCAGAATATTTCTGTGAAAAAATAATAAAGCCCTCAAAAGCAAATAAATTCTGGACACATGGAACCTTCTATCAGTTAGAAAATCTTCTATATATCAAGATACACTAAACTCTGCGTATGTCCACAGTACACTGCTTCTTTAATTTCTCTGCTCCAGGTGTTTCTTTTTTATATGCTACAGTCCCGTGTGTTTCACACTGTCTCCTGTTTTCAACTCATTTCCTTCTTTTGAAGGTTGCCCCTCCATTTCTCTAACTATTTTGTTTCACTCATCGCTTCAGATTTTGAGAAGGATTTTCAAACAGGGGATTTGCAAGCCAAATTCAAGGTGAGGCAAGCCTGGTCTTCCCTATCCCATGCTCTTTTACTGAAACTGTAGGAAAAAGAGCGTCACCCACTGCTTCACTACAAAACTCAGCTCCTTTTAAACCTCAGCTGTTCTCACGGAGAACAGTGTTTTCTTCATCTTGCTTAGACAGACTGCTTAACTTTGTACCAGCTCTGTTCAGTTTTGCTAAAGGCTTAAAGGAAACAGCAACTCACTTCAGTTAAATCGACAAATTTTGAACATGTCTGGACGGTACAAGCATGTAATTGCCTATAAGCAGACCAAATACTGACACAAACGGGGATGGTGTCTGCACGTTATTAACAGGGGCAGAAGCAGGCCAGATCTGGTGGGGCATGGGGGAATTGATCAATTTCGGTTCTCATGCCAGTATGCGACACACTGTTTGCTTTCACTTCTTGCGCTGAAAACTGGGCATACCTAGTCTAACCCAACCTTTTGAACTTCTCTGAGAACCAAGAATAACTGACACTGACTCTGACTACGTTACTGTTATATGCAAATTGTTAGAATTGCGACCAGATCCCGATGAGACTGAAAGCACTTTTTTCCACCGAAGAGTTCTCTAGTGAGACAGGCCAGGAGGGCGATGTTCACTATTGTGTTAGTATCTGCCAAACTGCCGCTTTAATATTAATGGCTTATTCAGGTCATGCCATTTCTTAACGTTTTTGGTATCATTCTCTGTGATACTTATGCTAATTGCCAAGTGCTTTCAGTGAACCTCATTTCCAGCCTCAGTGAATAACTTCTACACATACAATTTAAAAAGCAGAACACTTAATTTAAACAGAATACATATAAAGGGTTTTTTTTTCTCTTTTTTGCCTTATACGGCTATTGTTAAGCCTGAATCAGATATGAAATCTAAGCTTGTTAGAGAAACAAAAATCCATTCACATTCAAAGTTTGATGTTACTCAGCTTTCCATACAATGACTGCAATAATACTTTATCTGCTTCTTATGAGTGTCCTTGACAGAATGTTTGTGGAGCAAAACATTCACAGAGGAAAAAAAAAAAAAAAAAACAGAAATAGAGGGTGGGATGCGAGGTACATATATACGTAACGTGCACACACCCACACATACACACTTCAAGTTGAGTTTTTTCTGCTCTGCGCGTTTGCAG